TGGCGTGAAAAGAGAGCGCAGGTGCGAAAGGAATTTTTAGCGTTAACAGATGTTCTCGTTTACATATTAACATTGTTTAGAAGGTATCGCAAATAATTAGGGATTTATTAGGTGAATTTCAAGTTTTAAATTGCATGAGTTTTAGGATTAAATTTAATTAGTTTCGTGGGTTATGTTCGTAGATTTTAAGGTTCAATGATGGAACACAATTGCGTGGCGCTTTTTAACATAAATTTGCATATTTTAGTTATGCAAGTTTAATCTCATGTCTTATTTTGCCATTCTTCATTTACATATTTACTCATTTATACTTTTATTATGTTTATAATTTTATTTTTCAATATATGTATTAAAATGTTTACTTATTTCCTCTTCCCCCACAAGCAGTTTAACGCTTCAATTTCCAAGGAAATGGGCCTACACCCAAATACATAATTTTGTTGGTGTCCAAATGCTCGACCGCGGTCAAAAACCATTTGGGCACGACAGATCCTTTCATACTCTCGTTTTTTGAACTTTCAAAGGATCAGAAATAGTTTCTAAATCGTCAGTTACTCCGGACGAAAATTTACAGTTTTAACAGTACTCAGAGTAGATTTAGGTAGCCAAAGTTGCATTTGTTTTCCTACTATAATAGGACGGTTGTAGACAACCAAAATGTCGATGTTGGAGTGTTTCGAATTCTCCTATTTTACAACGTGACGTCGTGACAATACGACAAAACGTCGTAACGAAACTTGGAGTGGGGAGTGTAATGCGCGATGAGCCAACCTATTTATTGCTCCATGTTTGCCGCTCCACGTCAACTGTTCTGTGATAGGTCGCTTCGACTTTTAAGGTTATGCACCAAAATTTCTCCAGCAGATTTAATTTGTTTGGTTAGGTGCGTCCAAGTTGCACATGCATGAAAAAATTTGTGATTGTTTTCAAGTAATTGCGCTCTAACGCGGTTAGGTAAGAAAACACCCAGAATTCTTCCTAGTGGAATAAAATGGTTTTAGGTTGCCAAAATGTAAACTTTGGACTACTGTGAAGCAATCGCAACACGTGGAAGATCTTCACAATTGTAAAGTGTATCCTTATTTTTTTATCTTCTTTTCCCTATGACCAACCACATGAGAAGACACTGTTTCCCCCAGGAAACATTTACTTGTAACAACGCCAAAATAGAAGATTATCACTGTAAAGACTGCGATTTTAAAACAGAACTAACAGTTTTGTTCAAAGAACACATTCATAAATATCATAGGCTTAAGAGAGAATATAAAGACGATTTATTATGTGCCGACTTCCGTATACAAACCTACATTTGCGAAAAATGCAACTTTAAAACAAATCTGTCCTTAAAGTGGCTTCAGCATACTTCAGAATGCACGGGGAGGAAAGAAAATCTTCAAAGTGTGAGTTCTTTGAAAGAGAGTGCTACATACAATTCCAACTCCGAGCAAACTGACGAAGTACATTGGTTTTATTGCGCCAAATGCTCCTACAAAGGTAAACTCAAAAAACATTTAACACGTCACATTTGGGATTCCCATTCGACCAAGCGGCATGAATGCGACAAATGCTCATATAAATGTAAAAGAAAAATGAATTTAACACGTCACATAAATAACTTGCATTTGAACGACAAAGACGTTAATAAATGCTACAAATGCAATCAGTGTTATTTCAAAACTAAGCATGAAGAAGCTTTAAAAAGGCACGTACAAGTCAAGCATCTATATGACGATGACGCAAAAATTAAGTGTCCCTATTGTGCCTACAGAACCAAACGAGCATCCAATTTAAAAAGTCATGTACTTTATAATCATTTGAATGATGAGGAAATTAAGTGCTACAAATGTGAAAACTGTTCATACAGAGGTAAAACAAAAAGTAACTTAGCAAGGCATGTGAAGACACATTTGAAGATCAAATAGTATCCGTCTGATTATTACTCATATAACCCAGTGAATATTTAAAGCGTCATATAAGTTAATAACCATTTGGATGGAACTAAAGTTAAATGGTACCAACACAAATTAAAATCGAATCATCTTTTTACGAACAGGAAAAATACGTGTGGGATTTAGTTGAGGTTTAGTGCTATTTTAGTGAATATACATATACAGGGTTAGTCACGAGAGAATTACTTCTGAAAATTATTTTTACGCAACCCAAAATACTAATACCCTGTACCACTTGATATTATCTAAATTTAAAATGAAATGCCTAATCCATGATTGCTTTGACTTTGGCAGTGTCACTTTGACGTTAATTAATTTTTAACATTTTTTTTCATCGTTGACTCGCCTCTAGAGCCCCATTGGATCGACGACATACAGTCAGATCAATCTGGGCTATACTGAAGCCGTAAGTGCTCTACCAATGTTGTCCGCCGCTAATGTGCATGTGTTAATTCGCCATCTCTGCGTCACCTAGAGCCTCTTCGAAGTGCAAATTTGCAACCTCTGGACTTCTTCGGCCATCCATTTACAAAAAAGCCGTAGCATCCCCCCAAAATGCCCAACATTTTCAACAGATTAGTAGTTAAATTATTTACTTACTTGTTTGAGTTTGTGTTGTAACCTTTGAATAAAATGCCGTAAAAGGAATTTTTAGAAATAATTTTCTCGTGATTAATCGGTTGCAAAAGATCAACAGGCACACTGACAAATTTATTAGCGGCTCCGGAGGAGATTTCCGACTGGATGCGGTACCACCATGGACACTCGCGTAACCTCCTTTTCCACAATTGTCAAAATAAGATTGTCAAACTCAAAGCAATCATGGATTAAGCATTTCATTTTAAATTCAGTTAGTATCAAATGGTACATGGTATTCGTATTTTGGGTTGCGTAAAAATAATTTTCAGAAGTAATTCTCTCGTGACTAACCCTGTATATACATGTATTTTTTGTTAGTTCGTTTTTTCTAACATTTATGTCAGACTCTGTTAAATGTTATATGTGACCAGCTTTTATTAAGATTATGATTAAAAATATTTTAGATTTTTTTTTTACATTACATACATTAAATAATGTGGTGTCCTAATTTGAATTAAAAATTCGCGCCGAAAAAAAACAGAAACCCGAAATCGCTTGCGAATAAAGTGAATTTGAAAAATGAATTAAGAAAATCGCTAAACATATGCAATTTACTTCACAAAGCCTTTTACTCTGTTGATGAGTACCTACTTACTTCATAAATTTGAACGTATTTATTAAAGTTGCTTTATTATATTTTACAATAACTGCTGTGGATCTATAATAATTAATACAATCATTGTTATGTAGACTTAATTAGTATTGTATCATCTTACTTGTATTATTTAAATTTCTTAATTATTATCTTTGTTTTGGACGTGTGTAAATACATTTGTAGAATGACACCAATAAACTCTATCTATCTATTTATCTATCTATAAAATACAAAATGTTCGAAAAAGTATGAAATTTAATTTTGCGAATTTTATTTTTACTTCTTGAGCGTAAGTAAATAAAGTATTGTAATCAAGTCTATCGGAGGGCGACTGGGTTCTTTTATGTTTTCCAACATTTCATGACCCATAGAGTATGAAAAATTAGGTCTCATGGCTCAGTCTGTGTTCAGATTTTTATTAGGCAAATAATCTCCAAAACTACCGGACCGATTGTATTTTATATGTATGTTGAGAATACCGTACAGATGGTAAAACTCTGGCCAAAATTTGCCCAATCTCCCTATCAGTGTCGTAACATCTCAAAAATGTCTATAATATTTTATAAAATAGCTACTATTTTACTTTTTTAATTTTTCGAAGAAGCGGGATTTGTGGAACTGCACTTAGGGGGCGAGGTAAGTCCTGTCGAATAATTTTCGACCAATTTTTTAGATTTGCTTAAACAGGTGGCTCAAAAAAATTAATGAATGAATCAATTTATTTTACACTGCACCAATCCAAGTTGATCTACGTGTCCTTCCAAAATGTTGATACCGTCATTACAACTCAACTCGAAAATGCTGGATATTTTTCATTGTACTTCAGGAGCGAGGGAAGTTCTGTCGAAACAACTTTCTACCATTTTTTTTACATTGCGTACATAAAATAAATTAATGTATGTATATAACGCGTTTATAAAATAAAGCACACAATATGTGAAATGTAAGGTTCAATAAATACATGACTTAATAACGAAAGAGTAAAGTGAAAAACGGAATGAGCACAGAAAAAAAAACGTGTTGCAGTTAGTTGAGGTTTAGGTCGGCTCCGTTTAGTTATTTTTTTGTTTAATTACTTTTTGTAACATTTGTGTGGGACTCTGTAATGTGTTATATTTTGTGTCTATCTTTTTATATATATATTATTGTGGTGTCCCAATTTGAATTTAAAGTTCGCGCCGAAAAAAAACCAGCGGCGCCAATTGCATTGGAATAGTTTAAATTTGAAAAATGAATTAAGAAAATCGTTGAACATAGGCAAGCATGTGTAACTTTAGTTTCTTTGCTGGTGCTTTGGTAGTTTGTCGAGGGAATGTGTGATTAGTAAAGCAGACCTGTTTGGTTGAGATGCGTCACTTGTTTTTCTGGTGGTACTTGGGTTAAGTTTACTTTGGTTTGGTAATTTCATTACATAGTCTTTGTTTAAAAGAAACTTAAATCGCATCGACGCCGCAGTATGTGAATTTTTGACCATGTTTGACCGTTTACGTTAGAATTTTTAAGCATGCCTGATTCTAACACAGTTTAACAGTCATGAAAGTCGTTATCTAATTTGACGCAATCTCTCGAAATTATACATTTTATTTTCCTTTTATGAACCGAAGAAATAAGGAACGTTATTCTAGTGATTGATTCTCATTTCGAAATTTTTAAGCATCTTTGAAAATTAGCAGTGAAGTAAATGTCGTCGTGAATTCGAAGAGGGAAATGCTGAGTTTATCTTTTATGTGTTCTATGGCTTCAATTTTGGAACGTTTAAACTCGGACATGCCTCTCAAAGCGACGTGTGTACCGAACGACATTTTGTGATTTCGACCATGTTTAACGTATGTGTTTTATGTATGTATGTGATGGGCGAATCGGATTCGTGTTATTACTGCTTATTCGCAACACCGGATTCCGCCAACGCAACGTGAGATACGTTTGTAACAAATTTTTGTATGAAAAAACAGTTAGGTGGTACGAATGTGCCAACTGTCCATGTAAAAGTAAAGCAAAAATTAATTTGAGACGGCATGTAAAAATCCATTTGGAGATCAAATAGTATCAATGTGACTTTTGTTTATTATATGAGACGAACCACAGTGTTCTTTTAAAACGTCACATAAATAGCGACCATGTGGATGGGACAGATGTTAAGGAGTACAAATGCGAACAAACCTTACAAAAGTCAAAGTAGATTATCTTTTTATAAACACAGAACGAAGCACGTTGACATTTAGTTGATTATAAGCCGGGTATCCCTGTATTAAATTGAATGTAGTAATAAGCATATGTTTTGTTTAGCTAGTATTTTTCTTATCATTTATGTCAGCACTCTATGTTGTGCTATATTTTGTGACTATCTTCTCATTAAGATTTTGAATAAAAAATAATTAAATGTTTAACTTTTACACTACATACATTAAATAAATATATGACGCGTTTATAAAATCAAGCACATAATATGCAAACCATAAGGTTAAATAAGTACATGACTGCATAACGAGACAATAAAGTGAAAAACGGAATGAGAACACCTGTTCATTGTTTCCTTGTTGAACTTCCACGTTTATTGTTGTCAATCATAAGAATTAAAAAAATTAAGTTGAGCAACTAAATTAAGTCTAAAATTAAGAAATTACAATAAAATTATCAAAAATCGGTAAAGTTAAAAAACTGAGAAATCGTAAAATCGATAACCTGAAGAACATTAAAAAAAAACAAAAATCGATGGCAGTTAGAACACATGCTTAGACATTTCGAATTTGCGCCAATTTGAATTTGACGCCAACGTGTTTTGTTGTGATTGGTCGGCACGTTTGCAGAAATTAATGTAATGTAGTAGGGGATTTTAATTTGTGCGGTTATGTTCATTCTAGTTAAAGTGTGTAAAGAAATATTTAATTCTTTGCGGTTTTTACTGTGTTCCAACGGGATTTGAGTAAGAAATATTCCAGTTTTCTTTCACATTGTGATCAATCGATTTTAGGTGGCCAGAATATCGACTTTGAAATACTGTGAAGCAATCGCAACAGGTGGGAGGTCTCTATGCAAAAACATACACACTTGTAAACTATGCCCTTATTGTTCAACTGCTCTTTTCCTTATGGCGAACAATGTGAGACGACACTGATTCTCCCTGGAAACATTTACTTGAGACAGCGCCAAAATGGAAGCTTATCACTGTAAGGACTGTGATTTTAAGACGGAAGTGACACTTGTGTTTGAACAACACATTAATGAACATCACGGCCCTAGCAGAGAATCTAGAAAGGAAACACCTAGTGAAGAAACATCTAGTGAGGAAACATCTAGTGAGGATTCCAGCATAGAAAACTACGTTGGCGCAACATATTGCTTTGAGCCAAATCTGTTGTTAAAGTCGGTTCAGCATACTTATATATCCACGGGAACGGAAGAAAATCTTCAAAGTGTGAGTTCTTTGAAAGAGAGTGCCACATACAATTCTGACTTCAAGCAAACTGACGAAATACCTTTGTATTACTGCGCTGAATGTTCCTACAGATCTAAACTCCAGGAATCTTTAAAATATCACATTGAAATTAGCCATACCAAAAAACAGTATGCTTGCGATAAGTGTCCGTACAAAAGTAAACATAAATTCTATTTAAAATCCCACATAAATAGAATCCATTTAGATGAGCAAGAAGGTGAATGGCACAAGTGCCAAAAATGTCAGTTCAAGAGTAGAGCAAAATGGAATTTAAGACAACACATAAACGACATACACTTGAACGACGAAGACGTTAAATGGTTCAAATGCAATAAGTGTGATTTCAAAACTAAGCGTGGAACAACTTTAAAAACCCACGTAATTGTCAAGCATCTAGACGACTCAGAAATTAAGTGGTACGAATGTGGAAGCTGTTCATACAAAAGTAAAACAAAACAAAATTTAAGACAGCATGAAAAGATCCATTCGAAGATCAAATAATGCCATTGCGATTATTGTTCATGTAATGTAGTGAACATTTAAAGCCTCACATAAATAAGCGCTATTCAGAAGGAACTGTAGTTAAATGGTACCAACTGCCTTTGCAAAATTAAAAGTGGAATATCTTTTTATAAACAGAAAAAAACGTGTGGCAATTAGTTGCGGTGTAGCATGGTTTAGTTTAGTTATTTTTTTTATTAATTATATTGTAGCATTTGTGTCAGCATTCTGTAATGTGTTATATTTGTGTGACCATCCTTTTATTAAGGTTATGAATAAAAGGATTTTAAATGTTTTTTGTTTTTGCATAACTTGTATTGCATTGACTCAAGATCTTCTGAAAGTGTCCAAATGGAGCTCGGAATTGTTACTTCCAGTTAACATTACAAAATGTAGAGTTCTTATCATTGGGAACGCCAATTCCCAACATACCTATTTGATAGACGATGTAGACATGTGTAAATTTGAGTCCTATGTCGACTTAGGGGTACATCCAGGGATGTTGCGAATATTCGCATCCGCATCCGCAAATGCGGAGCTTCCGCATTGATTTGGACATCTGCATCCGCAACCGCAATAATCAATGCGGAACTCATGCGGATGCGGATGTAAATGTGGTGCAAGTCACGACAAGAAAGAAATTAGTTGGAGCCGACGAGTGACGCACAGCGTGCACTCGTGATGCATTGACCAATAGGAAGACAAGAATTCAACTTTCGGTGTTCCGTTTCGCACATCAGAACGTGTTTAGTCGGGGTTGCGCGAATTGTGAACGTTTTGTTTTTGTATGTTATTGGACAAGTGAATCTACAATGGCACCACCGATGCAAAGTGAGATTTGGACTTATTTTAAACCAGATAATGATCGAAATAAAGCTCAGTGTATAATATGTAATAAAACATATTCTCGCAAGGCTCGTACCACTTCGTCTTTGAAAAATCATGTGAAATCCATGCACCCAGAACAGTTTTGTTTGTTCGAAAGTTCGAATAACGAAAGACAAATGCAGAAGATGAAAGCTGATGCACGTAAGTTTTACTATCAACAGTGTTTATTTATTAGCCTTAATAAAGCATTTTGCTTTTATTAATTACTTAAAAGTATATTATTCTTAATAGATTATCAGATAAGCTGCTTTAAGGAATTAATTAAAATTAACAGAAATGTTAACAGCAGATAAGCCCAAAGTTGGTTTATTTTGTATTTAATACAAAAAAGTCGATGCAATAAAAGTTTCGTTATTTAAAATCTATTTTGCATCCGTTTATTTTTGTTAATTTCCATAACAAGTTATAATTTATGTGTGTATTTATTTTTAGATAAAATCCTCACTCCACTACAAGAAGCAAAGAAACAACTTTCGATAGAGGAAGCAGTTCAAAAAGAAAAAAAGTGGGATACTACCAATTCAAATTCGAAAAAAAGTGACAAACTCATCGGAGAAATGATTGCACTTCAAAATTTACCGTTTAATTTTGTAGAGGGACTCGGTTTTCGCAGACTGATACAAGAATTATCACCAAGGTATAATTTAAGAGGGCGCAATTTTTTTACTGACTTTGTGAGCACGGAACTGTATGGAAAAGTTGCTAACAAAGTGAAAGAATTAATCGAAAAATTTGATTACATGGCGTTTACTTCTGATATTTGGTCGGATCCAAGCTCTAATGCATCTTTGCTTAGTCTGACTTGTCATGGAATCGCAGAAAACTTTGATCGATCATTGATTATATTGAAATGGGAAACCTTCGACGACCGTCACTTAGGTGACATAATTGCAGAAAAATTTGACACCATGCTTACTGAATGGAATATTTCAAAAGAACAAGTGCACTGCATTATTCGTGACGAAGGCTCCAATACGAAAAGAGCTATGCGATTAGCAGTATTGAATGATTTGGATTGTGCAGTTCACAAGATGCAACTCGCTATTCGAAGTGGTTTACAATCGCAGGAAACCATAACAATCGTCAAACAAAAATGTAAGAAAATTTCGACTCACTTTAACCATTCCACCATTGCTCAAAAACAACTGCAAAAAATCCAGGACAGACTGAATCAACCGCATCTCAGAGTGTTTCAAGATTGTGTAACGCGAGGAACAGTACGTTTTACATGTTTGACCGTTTTTTAAAGGTAAAAGATACATTGAGTCTTTATATCAATGACAGTGAAATTGACCCTATTTTACCAGAAGACTGGAAAATTATTGAATGTTGTGTTGATCTATTGAAACCTTTTGAAGAAGCCACACGGGAACTAAGTAACTCTCATACACTTATATCATCTGTGATTCCAATAATTAAAATGCTTGGAAAAAAACTTGATGATTATTTAACAAGACCACAGGATTCTGATCCAATTCGGGTGGCCGTCACGACTCTGAAAACTGAAGTTTCAGCAAAATTTTCTTTGTTGGAAGAGAACAATTTATATGTCATAGCCACGTACTTAGACCCGCGCTATAAGCACAAGTTTTTTACACCAGTGACCGAGGAAAATATTAAGGACGATATTTTGAAGATTAGGACAAACATAGAGAATGACGTCTCAAACTCTCAAATATCTCCAAATTTCAAAGCAGCGAAAAAAGTGAAAATGGGAGCAGAAAGCCATGCTTGAAAAGCGATCTTCCCATGATAATGGCAATTTTTCACGATATAATTGAACCCATTAAAAGAAATTAACCGTAATAATAATTAAAGAATTTACTTGAGGAAATTTTTGCGTAATTTATTCTGCTACACTATTTACTCTGTGAGCCAAACGAGTAACGTGGACCTGATTAGGCTAAATTGTTTTTAATTGTTGCCCAACTTTTACCATATAAATTGCGCCATCAAATAGCGTAAGTATTTTTTTCCATTGGAACTTAAACACTCATTTACTAATCTCAAAATACTTAAACGATTTGTTTCCTTTTGTCTCTACATGCTATTAAATACTTGCTATATACTTGTTTATTTATTGGCTGCTTGTCTATACTTGAAAAATTTTTTAACAGAATTAAACTACATTTTTATTTTCTTCTTATGTTTATTTCGTTGGACGTTTCGGCAAGACGTCCCTTGCCTTTTTCAACAATTATTCGTCCCTGAAAAACTACATGTACCTGGAATAAAATTTAACCAACCGGTAACACAAAACTACTACACGTTGTTATAATAAAATTAAAATTATTAGTTATAAATTAAAATTTTCCCCTTTCTTTTTTTTCCCTACACTTCCTCGTCTTGTTCGTTGTCGTCTACGCGAACAGGATGAGGAAGTGCAGGAAAAAAAGTAAGGGGAAAATTTTAATTTTAACTAACTATTTCAAAAAGAAAGAACTTTGAAAATTATCATATCATCTTCCATCAGAACGGGGTAAAACCATGAAGGAGATTGAAAAATTTAATGTGAAACCTCGAAAAATTGCAGAAAATATCATAAATAAAAAATCAAATAATTGAAAAATCGGGAAAACAAAAAATCTGAAAAATCCTAAAATCGAATAACCGAATTGGTATGAATGTTAAAATTACTCATGCAAAACTAAACTGGCGTCGCAATTCGAAATCATGTTACTTTTCAACATCTGAATGAAGAAAAAGTTAAGTACCAACTGTCCATTAAAGTAAAGCAAAAACTAATTTGAGACGGCATGTAAAAATCCATCTAGAGATCAAATTGTATCAGTGCGACTATTATTCATACAAGATGAAACACAATGATCTTTTAAAGCGTCATATAAATAGCGACCATATGGATGGAACGGATGTTAAGGAGTAAAATCAAAAACAAAAAATGGAGTGCATAGTTGAAAAATCGGAAAAATTAGAAAACTGAGAAATCGTAAAATCGAAAAACTGAAGAACATTTAAAAAGCAAAAATCACTGCCAGTTAGAAAATGTGCTTTGGTGTGATTTTAATCTAATCTAGTTGAACTGGAAGTTTTGATTTGTGCGGTTATGTTCCTTCAACTTGCACGTGTGTAAAGAAATATTTCAAACTTTCCGGCATTTGGGTAAGAAAAATGCAGTATTCTTCTACAGTGTGATAAAACAGTTTTAGGTGTTCAAAATTTCAACTTTGAAATACTATGAATGAAGTAATCACAACAGCTGGGAGGTCTTCACGGAAAAACGTATACACCTGTGTGTTGTGCCCTTATTTTTCAACTTCGCTTTTCCTTAGGGTGAACCACATGAGACGACACTAATTCCTCCACGAAACATTTACTTGTAACAACGCCAAAATGGAAGCTCATCACTCTACGGACTACGGCTCTAATAGAGAATCTAGTGAGGAAACATCTAGTGAGGATTCCAGCATAGAAAACTACGGTTGCGCAATATATTGCTTTGAGCCAAATCTGTCGTTGAAGTCGTTTCAGCATACTTCAGCATGCACGGAAACGAAAGAAAATCTTCAAAGTGTGAGTTCTTTGAAAGAGAATACCACATACAACTCCGACTTCAAGCAAACTGACAAAGTAGATTGGTTTTATTGCGCCAAATGTTCCTACAAAGGTAAACTCAAAAAATATTTAAAACGTCACATTCGGGATTGCCATTCGACCAAGCGGTATGAATGCGACAAGTGCTCATTTAAATGTAAAAGAAAGATGAATTTAACACTTCACATAAATAACTTGCATTTGAACGACAAAGACGTTAAATGGCGCAAATGCAATGAGTGTGCTTTCAAAACTAAGTATGGAGTATCTTTAAAAAGACACGTAAATGACACGCATCTAGACGACACAAAAATTAAATGGTACAAGTGTCACAATTGTTCCTTCAGAACCAAACGAGTAGAGAATTTAAAAAGGCATGAAATATCTATACATTTGAATGATGAAGAAATTAAGTGGTATAAATGTGAAGACTGTTCATACAAAAGTAAAAGAAACAGTGATTTAAAAAGGCATGTAAAAATCCATTTGAAGATCAAATAGTATCCGTGTGATTATCTCATATAACGCAGTGAATATTTAAAGCGTCATATAAATAAGCGCTGTTTCGAAGGAACTGTAGTTAAATGGTATAACTTACCTTTACAAATTTAAAAGTGGACCTTTTTTTTATGAACACGTGTGTTATTTAGTTGAGGTTTAGTTAGGTGTCGTAGTATAACAGTGAATACATATATTTTTTGTTAGTCCGTTTTTTGTAGCATTTGTGTCAGACTCTGTTATGTTTTATATTTTGTGACCATCTTTTTATTAAGATTATGATTAGAAACATTTTAAATGTTTTTTTTTACATTACATACATTAAATAAACAGTGGCCTAAAATTGCTTTCGAATAATTTGAATTTAAAAAATGAATTAAGAAAATCGTTAAACATCGCCATCTTTTCAAGTTTTTCGCGTTTTTAAGAAATAACAATATATTATTAATACGCAAGAGCAAAACATAAAGTTTAACACATGACGTTACCATGAGACTGTAAAATGAATTACATAATGAAAAATTTAATGAATGAATACAATATTTAAATAATAATAGATTCACTTTCAAAGAAGAGAACCAAATGAACATTCTACATTACATATACTTACAAAGTATAACAGTTATTCATAACGAGAGAAATTGTTTAAAAAATAACTAGATAAACAATGGAAAATTTTAACCGAACGATATTTATACAATATTTACTTCTTTTTCACTGGATGAAGAAATTTTGTTCCAACTTCTGTCATTGGTTTTCGCTACACATACTGAATTTTATCTGTTCCAGAAACAACTTTAGTTTTTAAAACTATCTTTAAAAAGACACGTAAATCACATGCATCTAGACGACACAAAAATTGAGTGGTATAAATGTGGAGACTGTTCATACAAAAGTAAAAGAAACAGTGATTTAAGAAGGCATGTAAAAATCCATTTGAAGATCAAATAGTATCCGTGTGATTATCTCAGATACCGCAGTGAATATTTAAAGCCTCATATAAATAAGCGCTGTTTGGAAGCAACAGTAGTTAAATGGTATCAGTTGCCTTTACAAATTTAAAAGTGGACCAGTTTTTTATGAACACGTGTATTATTTAGTCGAGGTTTAGTTGGGTGTCGTAGTATAACGGTGAATGTATATACATCTATTTTTTGTTAGTCCGTTTTTGTAGCATTTGTGTCAGACTCTGTTATGTGTTATATTTTGTGCCATCTTTTTATTAAGATTTTGATTAGAAACATTTTAAATGTTTTTTTACGTTACATACATACATTAAATCTTGTGCTGTCCTAATTTGAATTTAAAGTTCGCGCCGAAAAAAAACAGCGGCTCAAAATTGCATTTGAATAAATTGAATTTGAAAAATGAATTAAGAAAATCGTTAACACATAGGCAACTATATTATTATTATTTTATTATTATTATTAGAAAAAATGGAGCAGAGGTCAGAGACCTATTATGCTCCTTCAAATAGATTTCCCTAAGTAGAGTTACTGATCCAATTTGTTCTTAAACATATTAACACTTGTCACATTTACGATTTCACTATGCAAATTATTCCATTCCTCAAACACCCTGTTAGGAAAGAAAAACCTTCGAACAATAGTTCTAAATGATTGCTTTTTTAATTTGTAAACGTGCCCTCGCAATTGGTTAGTATTCAATTCAAAAAGGGTTTTGAGGTGGCACATATTTGGATTGTGAAAAATCTTGTAAACCAATATCAAGTCTCCCCTCTTCCGTCGTTGTTCCAATGATGTAAGATTTAGACATCTTAATCGGGTTTGATAATTTTGTGTTCTATAGCCCAATACCTTTTTTGTAGCCCTTCTTTGAACTTTTTCCAGCAATTCCTTATCCCGCTGTAAAATTGGTGACCACACAACATTGGCATCTTCCAAAATTGGCCGTATATACGACTTAAACAATTTCAGAAATGTATCTCGTGAAGGGTGTCTAAATGCATTGAATAACATATAGGATGCAGAATTTGCTCTTCGTGCAACGTAAGCCACTTGATTGGACCAAGATAGATCAGATGTTATTATAACACCTAAATCATTTTGACTATCCACCATTTTTACTGCCTCATTATCTATCATGTAAATGTGTTTGGGGTTGTTGGTACCCAAGTGCAATACTTTACACTTGCCGTTATTCAACGGAATGAACCAGTCTAAGCACCAGCGGTAGACAGTGTTTAAATCCGTTTGCAATTCTCGATAATTTTGAATAGGATTAGCATACAGTTTACAGTCATCAGCATAGAAAACATGATTTGACGAAATTAAATGAGGTAAGTCCGATATGTAGAGGATGAAAAGCAATGGTCCCAATACAGAACCCTGCGGGACACCAGACACAACCACCCGTTCAGAGGATACCGAATCGCCCACTCTGACGTAAAACTTACGACCATGAAGAAATGATCTGATCCATTTCAATAATGGGCCTCGAATCCCAAAATTTTCTAATTTAGTAATTAAACGAAAATGCGGTCATGGTAGAAGGAGACATGGTATAGGCATACGCATCGGGTGTGACGTCAAGTGGGGTGAAATTAGCGCGAAATTTAAAATACAATTCGTTATCTGACAACTAATTGACGTATTGGACAGAGCAATGACAACTCAAGCTGAAATTCCCTAGACTTCCCTAGCGAAGCTCACAAGAGTCACAAGG